CGCCCCCCTCGCCGCCGCCCTCCCTGCCGGCGCACGGTCCCGTCTCTGGCGGGGGCTTTCCACACCGGCACCGGGACCCCCGAGGAGCACTACTGAAATCGCCCTGCGGGACCCAAAACCGGCCCGGGGGCCCCAGACCACCGAGACAGACACCCCCGCACGCCACATGCTGCCCAAGAAGGAGGCCTTGCTCCCCAAAACCTACATCCCGCTGCCACCCTTTCCCCGGCGTGGGACCCTGCCACACGTGCCCTGTCCCACAGCGAGAGGAAACGGAAACAGGGCAGCCCCCACTCCTCTGCATCCTCCAATGCAGAGGAACCTACATCCCTATATCCCGCAACCTACATCTCCCGGACACACCTCACAGACCTGGCTAAGGTGACCCGGACAGACGGCCGACCTCCCCGCCGCCCGCGCCCTGGTGGGCGTCCAATCTTCTGTAAAACTTGGACCGGGCCCTTACAGCCCCGGGGACGGACAGGGGCTGGAGAGACAGGGGACACCTTCTCTGCCCCTTCTGCGACCGGTCACGCTGACCCTCTCCCTTTCCTGCAGGAGCTGCCATGGATCTGGTCCTGGATGCCGCCGACTGGCACGTCCTCACACCCTATGTGTACCCTGCCGGCTGGCCCGAAGGCGAGCCCTGCCGCCAGCTCCTCAGCCTCTTCGTCATCACCAACCTGGGGGCGCTCACCCTCTACCTGCTCTTTGGCACCCTCAGCTACTACTTCATCTTTGACCACGAACTCAAGAAACATCCCCAGTTCCTAGAGGTAGGTGTCCCCTGCGCCGCCTCCCCTGGCTCTCTACTTCACCCAGGCCCCCCAGCGCGTCTGCTCGCGTTGCTTTGCCCGTGCCGCATGCCACCGGCATCCCCCTCGCCGTCCTCTGGTCGGAGGCCGTTCCATATGACACGTTCTGACGCCATGGTGCGGGCTGTCCCCGCTGCCTGTTTGCTATCTGCTGTCGCTTGCATCTCGAGGGACGCTTTTCTCCCATGTACCAACCCCCACCCTGCACGCAGCTCACAAGACCCTCTCTTGACCACCAAACCGAGTCCCTGGAAACCCCCTGAAGACACAGGGACACTGAGATGAGCTCAGAGCCCACCACTGACATTGGGGCCCAGCAGAGACGCCGGACCGCCCAGTGCTCCCGAGGACCCCCCTGCCTGCCAAACACCCGGCCCCACAGATACACCCGTCACATCCCACTCTCCATCCTCAACTGCCACAAACCACCTTGCTCCAGAAACAGCGGCAGCCCCGGGGTCCCTGGCCGCTCCAAAAGTACACTGTCCCCTCATGCACCCAAACTGACGATGCCCACCCTGGCGCCCTGCATTCCCCTGCACGCACGCACATCGTGGCTTGAGGCTGGCCGCCAACACACACGCACAGCCCAATGCCCGTCTCAGCGCCCCGCTTTTGCAAGTCGACAGCCACCTGACCCGTGACAACAAACAGCCTCTCGGCCCTCCAGTGCCCACCCATGCGAGGCCCTCGGTCATGCCTGACTGGAAACAAGTACCACTTGCACACCATACTAGACCCGGCACCCAGTGCCGGCCCTGCCCCGAGCACGGATCTCCCCAAACGGGTGGCATGCCACGCCCCACACCGCAGCATGGACGTCGCGGCAAAGTGCCCGTGCCAGAGGCCGACCGGCGGACGAGACGCCAGCCCTCCCTGCCTCGCGAGGGGCCAGGGCGTTGGGGCTCTCGGATCTCTGCCCGGCTCCTGGTACGCCCTCTCCCCCGACACCTCTCTTCTGCTGCCACCCCCCGCAGAATCAGGTGCGTCGGGAGATTGCCTATGCGCTGCGCTCCCTCCCCTGGATCAGCGTGCCCACCGTCGCCCTGTTCTTCGCCGAGGTGCGGGGCTACAGCAAGCTCTATGACAACATCGAGGACTCCCCATATGGTGAGCTGCTCCCCCGTGCTCTTCCATCAGGCCAGTGCCCTCTCCCCGCCACCCGGGTTGCCTCCCTCGGCCCCCCCGGGGCAGGCAGTGTACCCCCATTTCTCCTGATGACGGCACAGCTCGTATGAGCCCCACAAAATCCACCTGGGTACCTCCTGCCTCGACCTGGTCCCATCTATTTGTCCCAAGTTCCCTTTAGGCCCACACAAGGAGGTGCCCACCACCACCCCAGCCCCGGCTTAGGGAAGGGGTGCAACGGCCTGCTCGACATGTGCCCCCCTCCACAAAAGAAGGCCTTCCCTTCCCTGGGCACAGCTCCCAACAAACTGTCACCCAGCTTGCTTTCCCCGAGCCATGGGAGACCATCCAACCCTCTCGCCGTCTCCTTGAGGGGACGGACCCCGCCGTGAGGTCTGTCACGCCTCCCCGGCCCCCACGGCCCCCTGGCTCGTTGATGGCCCTCACCACCTCCGGGCACCACCCCTAACATCCCTGTTCCCCCAGGCTGGTCAGGCGTCTTCCTCAGCATGCTGTCCTTCCTCTTCTTCACTGACATGGGCATCTACTGGATACACCGCGGTCTCCACCACAAACTGCTCTATAAGGTACGAGATGGGATGGTGGGCTCCAGGCGACAGCCCTTGCCCTGCGCTGGGGCCACAGCCGAGCCGCTCATCCCAGGGAACACATGCCCCGGGGGGAATGAGGGATTCAGCCTGGCTGAACAAGGCCTTGCCTCGGTCCATGACGTGACAGGAGCCGAGAGCCCGTTAGGGCCTGCTCTGGGCACACACGCCTCTCCCGCCCTCTTCAGGCGGCAATAGCCTGTGGCCCCCTCGGCTCCTGGGTGGCAAGTCTGTCCCCGGCCGGGGGACCCCCTAAAAGGGGCTGGCCCACACAGGCCCCACGCCCGCCCCCGCCTTGGGGACCGACGGCATGCCCTCTCCTTGCAGCGCTTCCACAAGCCCCACCACCTCTGGAAGATTGCGACGCCCTTCGCCAGCCACGCCTTCCACCCTGTCGACGGCTTCATGCAGAGCCTGCCCTACCACATCTACCCCTTCCTCTTTCCTCTGCACAAAGTCACCTACTTGGGCCTTTACATCTTTGTCAACGTCTGGACCATCTCCATTCATGATGGCGACTACCGCGTCCCCCGCCTCCTGCGGCACGTCATCAATGGATCAGCCCACCACACCGACCACCACTTGTATTTTGACTACAACTACGGGCAGTACTTCACCCTCTGGGACAAGATCGGCGGCTCCTACAAGAGCCCCACAGCCTTCGAGGGCAAAGGCCCCCACGACTACTTGCGCAAGCTCCGAGAGAAGGGCCCAAGGGCACCCAATGGCCCCCCGGCCACCAAGACCGAGTAGGGTTCCCTGCAGCCTGGCCCCTCTCCAGGATGAGATTCCCCAGCTGGATCTTGTCCCGTTCCTCCCTGGTCTCTTGAGACTACTTTCCCACGGACAAAGAGCCCCTGTCCCCTGACAGCGCGACCGGTGCGGGGTGATTCTCAGCACCCAAAGCCGCTTGCATGGCCGGGGCAATGCACTCGGAGGCTGACGGGCACTCGCACCCTGGGCAGGCCTCCCACCCTGGACAGAAACCCCGGGCTCCATGTCCCCGCTTGCTATGAGTGCTGACATTCGGTCCCTGCCGCCTCTGACACCTGACACCCACCAACCTCGGAGGTCTGCTGGCACCACCCACAGAACGACTTCCCTCCTGCTTCTCATGCTGCCACCGGACCGCCCTGTGGGCACTCTGCTCAGCAAGGCCTCCGGTTCTTGGACGCCGACCCCTTACCGCAGCCTCGTGTGATACCCGCACACCTTGATGCCATGTGGGGCTGTTGCTATCGAGTCCTGACCGCCACATGCCCCTGCTACTCCCCACACCCAGGCCGCCTCCGACGTGGTAAATGCCACCCATCCAGCTACCAATATCGGACATCTCTGGGCTGCGAACCCCTGCCCGGCAGGGACTCACGCAATGGCAGCGGATGGCTTCAGTGAGTGCTCCGGCCTGCGCCTGCTCCCAAAACAGTGGCAGACGGCCTCGCTGCTGAGTTACAGCCTCGCTCTACACCACAAACCTGCCCTGCTCCCCCTATTGATCCCCCTCCCGGCTGCTTTTGGATCTCTGCTAAGGTCCCTGCGCTGCTTTGGTACTGTGCTGCTGCTTTACAAAAACAACAATAACATGGCACAAATAGAACAATAACATGGCATGTGGCAGGGTCTCCATCTGTCCGTGCTGTGTGCCGTCGTTGCCGATTCACTGTTGCTGTCGCAGAGTCCGTCGGGACGAGTCGAGTCACGTCCAGTCAAGAGGCTGACGATGCTACATTTTTTTCTGAGCTGCATTTCGCAAAAAAAGCCGCAAACGCCTACCTTTCGGAGACGGCACAGGTCCTTCCGACAGCTCCTTGGCATGGCAAGGGCTCAGCCTCAAGATGCGGCGGGACTCCTCAGCACTCGACGCACTCTCCTCTTTCCTCTCGCCTGGGGATGTCCTGCGGGGTGCTGACAGGACGTGTCCCAGAAATGGCAGGCCTGTAGGACAAAGATGTGCTTTGAGTCCCATGGGTCCCTCGAGCTCCCTGAGAACTTTGGGGGGGGGGGGGGGGACGCGTGGCA